CCGTTTTGCAAGATTTGTGCCATAAACGTGTTAAAATGGTGATTCTCGCGCGTTGCCCTGCTTACACGCAGGCGAATCATTATTTTGGAGGAATATGGTGATTCCCACTTATAGAAGCACGCCGAATGAAGCAGAGTTNNACATCCTAACCGTGTGTATGATCGATGAAGTTCTCAAATTTCTCAACGCAAGCAGTTCTCAACTCAAGTCCACACGAGCGCACACTGCTTGGGTTGAGCCTGCACTTAAACCCTTGTCAGTGTAAGAAAAGGCTTGTCGTTGTGGTTGTAAAGCCTGGTGTGCACCTAAACCCTGTCGTGGCAAGGACCTACTCTGTTATGACGATTTTTACCACCAGCATTGCTATCATTGTTGCGACTATGACCATTATTACCACTATGAATACTATTACTATGAGTACTACTCTCACGATTGGTAAACATTCACACTCTGTTGAGTATTTCTGTTATTCTGTCTTCCTTGTTGCTGTCAATGATTTCCCATGCCTTGCTGACCGCGTTCTTTCGTTCATTAGGTGTGATGCCTTCCTTCATATGGCCTTTTCTTTGGTTCGTTCTATGGCTCTGTCTTTCGTGCCTTATCTCTTCAGTTCTCTCTGCTATTTCAGTATGGATGTCGTTCTGTCTCTACTTTTACATGTGACCCCGACTTCATGTACTTGTTTTGTTCATTATCTATTTCGCTCGTTCGTGGCTTCTGCTGTGCTTATGTGTTTAGTTATTTCTGTCTTTATGTTGCTCTTTTGTCCATCATTTCGCACTCTATTCCTTTCTCCGTTCTTTCGTTGTTTCTTTCGTTCGTTCTTTCTTGCTTTCGTGCTTTCTCTGTCTCCCGTTTCTGGGGCCGAGGAGCATTTACGGCAATCGACGAGTCGAATCAGGAAGCTCCCCGGAAGTTCAAAAGTATCTCTTTCATGAAATGCAGAATGAGTACCGGAAAGGAAGGGATCGGTCCTGACCCCTGTCACCCCTCACCAGACCGGCGGCCTTCTCATGCCGATGAGATGCCCGAGCAAAGGCATTCAGAATCAACCCAAACCTTTGGATGCGGGCATGTGTTGTGAGGGGTGCTCTGAGCCGGTCCGAGATAAGCTGGCCACTGGTTGGGCTGCAGCTGTGCAGCCAACTCCTCCGCTCTGTCCGCGTATCTGTCCAGCCTGGACATCCCAAGCATCTTCGATGCGCGACATTGATGGCTAGCAGGCCAAGACGCAACTCTGGCATGTGGAGGCCGAAGGCCTGGGAGACTCGCCGGGCAGCTGAACTTCATGGCTGTGAAGCTTCCACTTAGTCCCTGGCGACCAAACGTATGCAGTATCGCGTCAAATTCTCTGTCTTGAGAATCTGGCGCACCACAGATTCCCAAGCTCTTCGCTTGGACAGCCTCCGGCCTCCGGCGTGTACATCTGAGACTCGATGATAGGCTGGGCCGCGGTCTCAAAGGCCTGACCCCGACTTGAAGTTCAGCATGCATGGATATGCATGGCGTGGCGATAAAGCTGGACTGCAAAGACAAGTTGGCTCACGTTGGAAGCAAGACACATAAGACGGGATCGGTCACGGCACTGGCCACATCTATCCGCGGTAAAGTGAACACCCAGTATGCGCAGGCATGCGTGCAGACAGTGGTTACCAATCCGTATCAATCCGCACTAGTTTGTTTGTTGAGCAGCTTCGGAAAATCTGCTCTCGGACAGAGCTCCAGTCTCTGGTTCCAAAGATGGGTCGTCGTGCTAGTGTGCAGCGCTGATCGTGGATACCCTGTCTGGGTTTTTCAACAGGGACTGCAGATGCAGCCACCTCGCGGTGCGGCCGTTGTTTCTGTCTGTCATAGATCCTTTGGACCTAAAGGCACCGACACAGCCGTAGTCGGCAGTACTAAGGCCTGGGAATCCTGTGCCTTTGGCTCTCTTGCACCTTCTATGCTGAATAAGGTCGACGCGGTCTTCTTGCCCTGGATGCAGGACAGACAGAAGCGCTTCAGTATGTATCGCCACAGGCCATAAGTGCCGTCCTTGACCTGATAGGAGAGGCCACGGGCACCGACTCCGACCTGGCCAAGCCTTGCCAGACAGTTTGCTTCCGAGCCTTTGCGAGGCGACTTGCAAAGCCCTCGGTTCACCTCTGGAACGGAGCTCCGAATGCCGCGCAGTGGCCTCTAGCAACACCGACAAGCTGAGCCGAAGCTTCTGACCCACAAAGCCGAGATGCAGAGCTTGTGCCGCATCGCTGACGGAGTGCATGCCACATGGCAGAGATGTGCAGAGTATGCAATGGTTGTCCTGTGATCAGGGGGTGCCACCGTGCTTTACGAGATCTGCAAGCTTTGCGTGCGTCGAGTTTTGTCTTTGGCTTTGGCTTGAAGAGTTGCTCGAGCCATCATCTACTGAATCGAGTCTGCACCTCGAAGGCTGCGGATGCTGCAGCAAGCTCACACCAGCATTCAGGCATCCGTGATTTTCGCTCATCGGCCGACATCCGTCTTACGGTGCGTAGCGCCGTCTGCATAGTAGGCGCCAGGCCTGGGGATGTCGCCGCACAAGAATGATGCTTGGAGACGGCCCAGCTGCAGAGGCCGGCTGGACTTGGGAAGCTTATCACAATCACAGGAGTAGCGCTCGTGTCTGTGCTACTGCTTTCGTCCCGAGACATTTACATTGGATATCATTGGATCCTCGATGGTCACATGATTCACGCGACGCAAGTATTTCTTGTGTCTCCCTTTGGCGCGACAGTGAGAATTTATAGCGCGTTGATTAATTGGGACAGTGATAATTCCCAGACGAATCTTGCAACGTCGGGATGTACCTCTTTATACCCTGGCTGGCCTCCTTGCCTTAATTGGTGCCAAGACGGAACACCAGTGTTTCAGCTCATGTTGGTATCCATGTCCACATCATGCTCCATACCAAGCCAAGCTATGCATCTTCGTGTGTGATCTCGCGTGTGATCTGGTAATTCGCGGGTAGACGGCCCGATGTGCGAGACGGTCACACGGTCACACCAAGTTCATCTCTCAGACTTGGCTGCCAAAAGATGTCAAAAGCAGATAGCTTCGGTCATGGGTGCCTCCGCTACAGCCGACGCAAGTAGCGACTGGGACCTGAGACGGGACCCCTATCACACCTGGGCTGATGCGGCAGAGCAGAGGCCCCCCACTGGCTCTGGAGCCTGGACAAACGCTGCTCGACCTGTGCAGGCACTCGTGCAGGCACTCTGCAGTGGCTTCTCCGAAACTCCGGGAACGGTCGCCGGGCTGAGCTTCTCAGTGTGCCTCTTCCCGAGTCGCAGCTTCCACCTGCAATCGCGATGTCTCTCGGGTCGATTCGGGGCATTTGCAGCGGTGAGGACACCGCAGTCCCACTGATCGCCAGGTCGTCTTCGAACATTACAGTTCCCATGGTTCCTGCACGCTCCTGGTTCCAGGGGTGCGCACGGAGGCAGATCGCAATGCATGCGCAAGCACTCCTGGAAAGGGCGATCGAGGCTTTCTTGCACGTTGAAGCGTCGAGGATACTGCAGGTGCAATTCGCTCTGTTAAGCCTTTGAGCTCATATCCGATAATCACAACACGGTGACAAGGTCAAGCGGCCTCTCCAAAAGACCTGGCAAGCGGCCGCTGCAAAACAGAGTGCGCTCACATCCCTTCCACAAAAAACAACGTGCTGGCTTTGCGGCACCATTGCGCGAACGCGCAGCTGACAGTATGCCGATGGTCTACGGAACCATTTTGAGACACGGTACAGCTTTACCGGCCGTAAGGAGCTCGATTGAAATAGGTTCAACGAGTAAGGGTTTGTTGGTGAGTGACCCATGTTGAAACAGCATCTTCGAAATACAGCTGAAGCCTCGGCTGCAAGCCTCCAGCACACAGGCTTCAATAAACTACGCTCGCGTGGGACGCACTCGCCACATGGTATATGGTCTTTGCCACGCAGAGGCGAATGCAGCTGCTTTTTCGATGGCAGCCAACATCCCAGCAGCGATGCCACAGCCGAAAATTCGCCAAGGCTAGGTCGCTCGTAGTTTCACGGGCCCAAAGCCTAGCCGGCCTAGCGCAGACCGTCAATCCAGGAAATTCTCCGTGGAGTCGTTCTCCACTTCGCTCGAGCAGCAAGCCCACGTGAACTCAGGAGACAAGCTAATTCTCGTGCCCCTGGAAAAGCAACACCATGCTGAGGCTCAAACCATGCCCAGAGAAACAAGGAGTAGCACAACACCCGTGCCTGAGCAACTACTAGACTAGTTGCACGATGGTTCTCAAGATCCGGGCGGACATGTATATCAACAAGCAAACCCCGCGGGCCAACTGTCTCACTATGCACATCCTGCATGCTCCCCCTCACGCACCCGTGCATCCCTCTGCATGTCAGCGTCCCCCAGGCACGCACCCCTGCACGGAACTCTGCATGCCGCTGCAGCTCGACAGTGACCTGGAAAGCCTTCGTCCGCTGTAGCCATAAAACTCTCTGGGGAACAACAGTCGAGGTTTGGCAAAACCCACCAGGCCCCTACGTACTACGTGTCCTAAATGGCGATGCATCGCCCTGGCACCCTCCGGAGTGACCCGCGACTCGGGAAGAACCCCTCACACTGCAATGTGGGAACTGTCAGCCAAGATCACTGGACAGGTCGAGAACTGCTGAATGCTAGGGTTCGAGAAACCCTACAAGATCTTTGGAGACTTGTTCTGGCAAAGAAAGCTGGGCCACAAGCAACCTAACACCAAGCCAAGATGTCGCATAGAGTCCTGCAGCTGGCACGGAGCCGCCGGTAGCGGAGAGCCTGCTGACATCTGCTCACTGTCCTGTCGAAGATGTTCTTCAACAGGACTGTCTTGACCTGCCCAGAGCCACCACTCAGGAGCAACAGTCATGTTTTTGACAATTCTGCCACATTGAGGACGGCACTTGTAGACGCTTGCGCCGTGAGCTGTGTGGAATGATGATGCTCTGGACCTCTCGCTTTGAAGTTGGTTGGATAGATTAGCACCCTTTCTCTTGCAGCGGAAAGGGTGCGTCTAGGTGAGTCTTAGACCGGCACAGTTTGCAACTTCCAGCCCGAGCTTTGAGGACGCGGTGTCGAAGACCAAGAGCTTGTGCATGAAAAACGAGATCTGGCTTGGTGCATCGGGTACTCGCACCCGCAGCGGCAGAGCACAATTGAGGCTTCAGGCTCTTCCGAGGTTTTCCGTAGAGACTCTCAAGTCTGGCGGACAGACTTTGCCAATCCCAACAAACTGCATGGAGTTGGCATCGTGCAGGGCTTCTTGCCGTAGAGTTGCTAGATTCACTTTACGGAAACTCGCCGCTGCGGCTCCCAGCACCGTCTCCTTGGAAAACCCGTTGCTCGCAAAGGCCAAGCACCTGCCACACGTGGCTCAACTTATGTTGGCTTTCCAGGACGGTTTTTCGGGGATGCCACAACGCTGCAAACGGCACCAGGCTTCGAATCCATCAACCCCGCGCATGCCACGTCGAAAGAGGTAGGCATTCGCAGGCCAGCCTTGATTGCCACGAAAAGCCACCCCAGAAATGATGCGGTTGAAGACCATGCGAAAGAGAGAAATTGAAGAGGAAACGAGGGTACACATCTGCTGGGAGCGCATGGGAATGTGCATATACAGCATGCAGCAAGAAAACGACCCTTGCTTGCTGTGTCTTGCTGTCCTGGGTAGCCTGCTGACTGATATGTCAGCTTCTCCATTTCCGCCGGAGAAGGTCTGCACATCGCATGGGTATTCTATGTGATGCGTCTGCTGTACGTAGCACAAAACCGAGGAGGCACCAGAATGATCGGTGCGAACTTTGCAGGGCCTCAGACATGTGTAGCAGTGTCTCAAAGTTACTTGCGGCTCAATGCGGGCCTCAGGCGCAGGCGGCTTCCCGTAGGCAACAGCCAGCAGTCCTTTCCTGCATTCGATGAGAATCACATCCATGACACCGGCAACGACGAGCTGGCGGAGTCCTGCTGATCTTGCCCCGCACCGTGAGCCTCTAGATCAGCAGGCGATATTCCGACATCCAACAAGACCGCGGGAAGGACAGCTGACAGCCACTTGAAGGAGGGCACCTTGACACGTTGCTATGACGCTTTGGCGCAACGTTTCAAACACCTGGTCATTCGGCAACAAACCTCATTGTGACAAGGAGTGGCGGACGTGGCCAAAGACCTTCGCCGGAAAGTAGGTGAACGTCGTGCCGCTGTCCACGACAGTACGTCCTGTGAATTCCTGGAAGGAAAACGGATCCGTTGCCACAACGGCCATGTAATACAATGCAGTCCGCCTCCGAGTTGGCCACGACATGCGTATCAAACCTGTATGGCATCAGTCGGAATCTTGGCACAGCTTGGAACTTCCGCTATGCAAGACAGCCACGTTTCAAACACGAGGGAAAGGCCGAAT